ATGGATAATCTCGCCATCCGAAACTTGAGTTGAGTAGAAAGATAGAAAATCGAACACTTTAAAGGGGATTAGATGACTTTAGGAGCATACCTTTTTGAAGACAAAGCAGATAAGAACGATTCGAGCACAGCAGCAATCCTAAACTTGCAGGGAGAAGAGTTCGGCTTGAAGGTGATGAACTATTTAGAGAGGAAGAACGAGAAAAAGGCTAGAGCTTTTTGAATAATGAAGAGTTTTTAAAAGAGAAGGGGGTATTTATATGAGACTTCTAGAAGAAAAGTGGGCTGGGCTCTAAAAGTCCAAACCCAAAGATTTAAATATTTCCTTAAATTAAGTCCCAAAAATCTTAAAATAACCAAAATGTCCAAGCCTGGAACAAGACTAGCTGTCGAACATAATGATCAGTTTGGGCAACCAGCGCCTCAGAAAGAAGACAATACAGCCTCTGCGAAGAAAAGACGCCAGAGCTTCTGTGAAGACTCTCAGAGCTTCTGCAAAGAGATGCCAGAGCCTCTGTGAAGAGACACAGAGTCTCTGTGAAAAGATTCAGAGTCTTTGAGAAGAGTTGCCGAAGTCTCTGTGAAAAGATACAGAGTCTTTGAGAAGAGTTGCCGAAGTGTCTGTGAAAAGATACAAAGTCTTTGAGAAGAGGCAACATGGCCTCTGTAGATAGTGTCAGGGCCTCTGTATATAGTGTCAGAGCCTCCGTGTCTGCTACCAGAGCCTCTATAGCTAACATCAGAGCCTCTGTGGCTGACGCCAGAGCCTCTAATCGAATAGACGACCTCTTCAAGATCATACTCTAGATAACGTTAACCCTAAAAGACTTAGTTTTCTAAAGAAGATTCCGAAATGAGTACTAACCTGGAAATTCCAAAAGTGCAGAGTTGTTACATCATCCACGTGAGTATATAAACATCCACGTGGTTACATCCAGGAAGCTACCTCTCTTAATTGCTACCTGAGCAAGAACATATTGGCATCTGGAACCAAAATTACTAGCAAAATGAGAACACATTGATCAAGAAGCTACCTCTCATAAGGTGGAAGACGGTAGGAAGCGAAGAAATACGAGCTGCTGGAAGACGATAGGAAGCGAGGAAATACGACCTGCTGGAAGACGGCGATCGAAAGAACTGTTGGAAGACGGCGACCGGAGACGGCGAGGAAATACGAGCTGCTGGAAGACGAGCTGCTGGAAGACGGTAGGAAGCAAGGAAATACGAGCTGCTGGAAGATGATAGGAAGCGAGGAAATACGACCTGCTGGAAGACGGTGATCGGAAGAGCTGTTGGAAGACGGCGACCGGAGACGGCGACCGGAAGAGCGACGATCGGGGAGGGGGGGAAGACGGAGACCAGATCGTGGGGGGTGGGAGGCGATGTGAAGGAAGGGTTCTATAGAGAGGGCAAACTTGGAAATTGTAAATCTGAATGGTTTAGTGAAGGCTTGGACACTAAATTAGTCAAATATTTTATGATATAATTAAAAAAATATTTAATAATATAATATCTATACTATATTGTATTTAATAAAATTCTTAAAAATTATTTTTTATATATGAAGTATTGTTTATTGGTATACATTATAACGGTACTCGCGTAATGCAGAGAGATACATTTTGATTTTTTTATTATTTATCTCAATCGATGTTATAGTATGGTCTTATGTGATTTTGAAAAAGCGATAATGTTTTTATTTTTGAATAAAATATAAATTTAAAGATATCAAATTTGACAAAAATATATCGATGTTAGTATCAAATTAACTATTTAAAATTCTTATTTTTTGTGTAATTTTTTAACTCAATTTTTTTATTATAATTTAATTTAGGTTTAGTAACGAAGTAATTTATATTTTGTTTAATAATATAATTTTCTTATAAAGATAATAATTAATTATTTTGTTAGAACTCGATAATTATCTTAATTATTTTTTATATTTTTTATATTTTAAAATGAGATGTTTATTCTCTAATTGATTATGTTTATTCGCAGTTAGTTACGTGAATTCAAACATGGAGCTTTAATAAGTTGTACTTATGCATAATTTACTTGTAATCTTGAATTTTAAGTAATATGCATTAATATAAAGTACTTCATGCATAAAAATGATTTTTAAGAGTGCGTTTGGTATGCAGACTACATGGGACGGGAGGGGATAAAAAAAATAGTCCCATGTTTGGCATGCCATGGACAAAAAATACATAGGACAAGATGGGACTATTTTTAAATTTCATGGGACAAAACTTAATGTAATATTCGGGTTTCAAGTTTTGATTTAAGATTTTCTTTAACATATACATATATATATGTGTGTGTGTGTGTGTGTGTATGTGTATGTGTGTGTTATGTTTATATATATCTTGAGATTAAAAAAAAAAAAAAAGGGGGTGGAGGTCGGCTAGTTGTGCCGCCCACCACCTTTCCTTAATAATACTATATATATAGAAAGTTGAGTAGATGAAAGTTTTTACACACACATTGTATTTAGAAAGCTTTCTTTGAGAGTCATACGGATTGCAAGAAGAGGATTCAAAAGCTTGGATATTCGATTYCTAAAGGTGAGTGTATTAAAGTTTTGAATATAAATTGTTTACATACAATTTAGTAGTATTTGGAATTGGTTATTATGAATTCTGTTTCATTTTATGTGGATTCTTATTTAAACCGTTCAAGTGGTGTCCGGATTAATATCCGGACAATCTCATCCGGATAGTAAACCGCTCAAGAGGTGACCGGTTTATTTTAAATCGCTCAAGTATTGTCTGGAGTCTTTCCTAAACCGGTCAAGAGGTGACTGGATCTCGTCTAAACTGGTCAAGAGTTAGGCGGTGTATTGACCGGATTGTTTTAAACCGATCAAAGGTTGGGCAATGTGTTGACCAGATTATTTTAAACCGGTTAAGTTGTAAGCGRGGTATTGTCCGGACTTGTAATCCGGACAAAGATGTTGACT